TATTTTGAATTTGGACTGCAGTTCCCATTTCAACCGCTAGCTGAAAATATTACATTCTGCACCTTTAAGGGATAGTTCACCCAAAAATTATCTTTAACGAGCTGAAGAGAGTGCACGTCACACACCTCATCACTTTGAAGAGGTACAAATTCACTTTCACAGACCTTTACTTTGACTGTTTGTTGCTGTTGTAATAAACTGCCTAACTCTGCCCATTTTCAAGAAATGGCTAAAAATGCTTTTTTAGGGATAGTTCACCCAAAAATTAAAATGACCCCATGATTTACTCACCCATGGTGGCCAAAATTATAAAAAAAAAAAATTTGCTGTACTGTGTCAGTAGGAAATATCAGTTTACATTTCCAAACATTCATTTTGCCATTAATTGTAATAATCCAGTGAGATTTTTGTTTTCACAAAGAGTCTGACAACAGCCAGTGCTCCACACAGAGATCTGATCTCATCGTCATCCAGTCTGTCTGGAATGACATGAAGAAACAAAACAAACTGAGACAGACTAAATCCAGAAGAACTGTGGCAACATCTCCAAGATACTTCAAGAATGCTACAGTACTGTTAAAAGTTTTAGGAACATCATAGGATGCTGTCAAAAATAATGTCATAAATAGATTTTCTTTATCAATTAACTTCTATTAACTAAATTAAATCAACATTTGGTGTGACCATCCTTTGCGTTTAAAGCAGCTTTTGACCTAGGTGCACTTGCGCATAGTTTTTCAGGTAGCTTTGCCGGTAGGTTTCTTGAAGCATCTTTGAGATGTAGCCACAGTTCTTCTGGAGTTAGTCTGTCTCAGTTTGTTCTGTTTCTTCATGTCATTCCAGACAGACTGGATGATGATGATTTTTTGAGAAATTATAGAAATTAAATTCTTTTATTTAGCAAGGACGCGATAAATGCTGTTCTTCTGAACTTTCTATTTATCAAAGAAACCTGAAAAAAATCAAATCAGCTGTTTTCAACATAATAATAATAAATGTTTTTTGAGCAGCAAATCAGAATATTAGAATGATTTCTGAAGGATCATGTGACTGGAGTAATGATGCTAAAATTCAGCTTTGAAATCACAGGAATAAATTACATTTTAAAATATATTCAAATAGAAATCAGTTATATTAAATAGTAAAAATATTTCAATTTTTTTGTTTTACTGTTTTTGCTGTACTTTGGATCAAATAAATGCAGGCTTGGTAAGCAGAAGAGACATCTTTAAAAACATTAAAAATCGTACTACTATATACTGCTTTTTTTTTCAATTCTGTCATTATTTACTCACCCTCATGTCGTTCAAAACCCCTAAGACCTTTGTTCATCTTCGGAACACAAATTAAGATATTTTTTTATGAAATCCGAGGGCTTTCTGACACTAAAATGTTCCCAGGCCCAGAAACGTAGCAAGGACATCGATAAAATAGTCCATGTGACATCAGTGATTCAACCGTAATTTTACGCAGCTACGTGAATACTTTTTGTGCACAAAGAGAACAAAAATAATGACTTTATTCAACAATTCTTCTCCTCTAAATCAGTGTTTCCCAACCTTTTTTTAGTTGCGGCACCCTTTGGATATTTTAACAAACTTGTGGCACCCTACAAAATTTATTTTGTCACTATATTTTAATTTCTAACTTCGATATGATAATTTGAAAAGTATAGATATTCGGTACAACAGGGAAGAACTGCAGAATATAATGTCATACAGATAT